TTATGAAAAATTGAAAATTCGCGACAGATGAGAATTTAAAGATGGAAGAAAGAGAGAGAGAGAGAGAGAAGAAAAAATAAGGTAAAATAAGAGAAGATCGATGGAACGCCACGCACCAGTTTTTATAGCGGACACAGAAACAGCTGGACCGTACAGGCGAAAGCCCATTCCATCTCGAAATCGAAATCCCTCTACGACTTTTTTCCAAACATTTTGTTTTTTTTTTTAACGGCGAAGTTTCATGGACTACTTGCATTAGAATAGAATTATTGCAGAATTTTTCGAAGAACTCTCTTGTATTTCGAATAAATAATTTTTAATTATATTCATTTTTCAAAAAAAGTGAAGTGTTGGAAACAATACATAACAATTTTTTATTACATAATTAAAACTAGTTTGAGGTTAAAAAAAGAGAACGAATAATTCAGAATAAATGTCTTAATATTTGTAATTAAATTTCGATCGATGAATATTCTAACCTCCAAAATTTCCAATAATTGATATTGAATTTAATAAAAATTGAATAATTCCTTTTTCTTTTACCATGAGAAGAGAGACAGATGTCAATAATGTATTACGATACTTGAAACATGTCACTATAGATTCTGTTAGAATCATATTCTAATAAACGCATTTGGGGAGAGCAATGATTACTCGGTCGCCTGACATAACTGCGAATTAATTCAGTTCAAGCAACAGGCTCGTGCCAGCGTTGCCATGAGAAAGTTAAGTGACCTGTATCAAGTACTTACCTTCCCTCTCCGCAAAATATTTCGAAAAATTGTTCTAAATATTTTTATATTGCAATCAGTTTCATGCGTCACTTGAAATTTTAATTTTAATAAAAATGAAAATTACATCTAACATTTTAATATCTTATCATTATTAATAACGTTACATCATTACAACTTTACATTAATTGATCTTTAAATAATAAATAATAGTCACAGGAATAATTACAGGAATCAAAAGAATGAAATAAATCATTTAAAGATTTAATTTTCAGATTTTTTTCTATTCCCTCTTATTCGAAAAGTTCGTTATTGAACAATAACAAGGCACTCGGGATATGAGGAGAGCCGTAAATATAAAACCTCTTTTATTCGATATGTAAAGTTTCTCGATTATTTAAAATCGACTCGACAATGATCGTCTAAACTAGCGGATCCCCTTTAGGATTATTCACAGAGAGTAAATAACGATTAAAGAGAATGAAAGAAGAGCTTGCTTTCGTTGGTTCGAACTGGTCAAGAGACGCAATTGGTTCAAAAGGAACAGACGGCACTCACGGGACAAGAAAGTGTCTCTTTTACGACGACAGCTGCGCCAGGCACTCACAATTTCTCGAAGCAGTCGTACATATCGCTTGTATTTAGTAAGCTTCGATTCTGGTAGCCGTTTGGCAAGTTCGAGGATGTTCCTCTGGGAAGCTAAGTTTCGTGAGAATTGTTCAGTAAAATTTGAACAGGTATTTGTTCATTATAGGTATGAATAAATTCTTAAAGAACTTCTTCAAAGTTTCGTGCAACTTCGGTATAATTATCAAAATGAAATTCTAAAACAATTAAACTAGCTTCGCTTCCTCGCTTTTAACACGTTCTTAGACGTGAACTTAGAACACTTGTGCTAATGATCTTAAAAGAATTTTTTTTATTACTCGAGACTGATCAGTTTTATTATAAAAAAAATTCATATTTAATTTTTTTTTTTATTATTATATAATCAATCAAACATGACATTATATCATGATTTATTAATAAAATCAACGTGTATCTCGCGATCGTTTAATAAATATTTACATGCAAATTTTAGATAAGCATACGATGAATAGATAATAAAGAAACATAAAATTATTGAAGAGTGAGCATAATTGATAATTCATATGATACACAAGTCAGAGAATTATCCGTTTATGCCGATTTATTTTTCACTATGATTTCACTTGGAAATATAGGTAGTCACGATATGCCAGACACCGAGGAAGCGTCGACATGGAAAGGAAAAATGAAAAAGAATCAAAAGTATAATAGAGTTTACACGACACTCATCGCTTACTCTGGGGCGAATGAGACTCAGGGACGTTTTTTTAAGGGGGTCAAGGGGACCCTGCGCCCCGGGGCCATTCTTATTAACGCTGACTTTTCTTTCTTTCTTTCTTTCTCTAACTTGAATTCAAATTTTCCAAATTTTTCACGAAAGAAAAAAGTTTTTCAGAAAAGTTATTATTTATTTCCATCTTATCTCCTTCGCGTGTTTTCTTCTCTAATTTTTCGATGTAGAGTTATATCTGTATATTTTTGAATCGAACGAATCATGGAGCAGAAATCCGTTCTTACGATGGCCGACGCTTTGAGAAAGCGTTTATTCAAAGCGTGACATTAATTTATGGACACAGCAGCACACGTATCAGTCAGCGAGATCCATGCAACCTTAAACTTGCATCCATGCGTATGATTACATAAAATTGTTGGTTTCGCTCAAGTTATGAGCGTGGGTAATATATTTCCTGCTATTAAAGAATCGATTTCGACGCAGAATTTCGCTTATTGATTAATAACGTTGATACAATGTTAGATACAATGGCTTGGAATTGGAAGATTAGGAATTACGATTTATGCCAAAAATGTTACAACGTTATACATTTTGAACTATTTGATTGTGCATGTGTAAAGTTTCGTCTTACAAAAGATTCTTTTTTTTTTCTCCTTTAATTATAAGATGACCCTTATGTTATATTAGTTTACGAATACCGTATTCTCTTCACAATGTCACGACCGTCGTGCGTGATTCCGGTACGACGTCACGGTCCCATTGACGCCGACCACAACCACCTTAAACACCCATAAAACATTTTCGTGACCTCTTTTTCATGTAATTCAACGAACAGAGGCTTGTTCTCCATTTCCGGTGACATGAAAGCACCGATACACTCGGCACGCTCGAAAAAACCTTTCACACGTTCCGGCGATATATTGTGTATACCACTGAATTCGTAAACGATATCCCCGGTTTCATTACCGATTTGAATGCCCTGGGTATACATAGTATCGAGAGCGGTATGAATAATTCCATTCTGTAATCATCTTGAGATCATTCTACCGAAAACGCGTAAATATTAGACAAATTATATCATGCATATACGTTTATAATCATAGCATATACATGCATCTACGTGTATTGTGTCGGAGAATGAAAAGATTAAAAAAAGCATCAGCGAAAATATTCCATGTAAAGAATATGTCACTTAGAAAAAAACATATATGTGTATTATAGCAGAAACCTTTCGAGAGTATGTTACGTATGATAACATAGTTCGTATAATTTCGCAGCAGCATGCCAGAAAACGTGCATTCCCGAAGAGGAGTTTCCTGTAGGAGGGAGCCTTGGGTACCCGGCGGTGAACCATCATCGTTCTAGCACGACACGAGGTCGCGGAAAAGCACGAACATCGTCGAAGCGTGCACGAATACGACCGAACCGTAACGAAAGCGTACGAGGCCACAGATACAGGGGTGGGGACTCGCAGACTCTCAGTAGTCGAATTCAGTCGAGCCAGCGCCGTGATCGGAGTTGGAATAGTGATTGGCGAACAGTGTTCCGAGCAGGCGTATCCGCTCTCGATGTTCTAGTCGCTCCTTAATCACGCGCACACGAATTAATTTGGTCGGCTGGCAGATCCGAGATCGAATATTCGAATCAATCGCTTCGTTTTTTTATTCGTCTCTTGTTTAACCGTGGGCTTCGTACGCTTCTATCGTTCTCCGTCGTGCATGTTCATCAATTTATACAGTTTGTCGCTATTCGTTTAACCGTCCCCGTTGTGATTGACTGTCGCGAAGGCCTTTTTTTCCCGGAGCCGCTACAGACACGGCAGTGAAAATGCGGTAGTGACAGTGGTATATCAGAGACAGGGAGAAAAAGAGAATCCCTGACTACGTTTGTAGGCGCGAGGACGCCACGAGTTTACTCGATAAAAATCGAAGTGAACGAAATTAGGGGAGAGGCTCCTTGAAGCCAGGGCCAGAAGTTATGTCGAGTTCGTGTGTTCGAGGACGAGGAATTTACGCGCATGTGTCCAGTGGGATTTAGTGTCGGCGATAAAGCATTCTTTCCAGATCTGGATACCTTGCTCGCAACACCTACGGGACCTGGATTATCTCATGTCAGGATGGCGCTGGCGCGGTACGTATTTTCCACTGAATCGTCGAACCTCCTCGTCATTGCGTTTAGGGTGGGTCTTTGCTCAAACGTGTTTGTTTTTCCTCTTTCGTTCCCGATGTTATTAAGTGTCTTTATTGATCCAATACGACGTTCTATACAGCAACACATATTGACCTTAAAACGATGTTTCACTTCTATTATAATGACAATATTTTACATAATCATATTCTGAAAAGGATTTAATAATACACTTTGTAAAAGAAAGTGTTCTTCTTTTATAAAATACCGGTGTCCCTTTGTTTTGAAGTATTCTGCCACAGATGCCGGTATCAGCCATAGAGTGCGCACTGGTCAACGACCCATCCCTGCCATAACTATAGTCAACTGATTTAACAGATTTATACATTCTCGGTGTATTTACATAGCTGTCGTGTGTTCTTTCGACACGATGCGTATGATGCCAGGACTCGTTATTAGTTTGAAAGTTCTTGGTCAAGTTGCTTGCATGGCGAAGGAAAGACGTCAAGGTTAGTACACCTTTTTACGTTAAGTCGACCTTCCGAGTACGATGCGGGCTCCGTCACGGTTCGACAATCTGCCTTTATACTGAAACATTTGACCGTGAATATGAGTCGATGGAATTCAAACGTAGAAACATTAACAGCGACCTTATCCTCCGGTCGCTTTCTTCTCTCCCTCTCTCTCTC